TCGCAGAGAAAGGAATCCTTCCAAACTCATGCTACAAGGCCAGCCACACTCTGATACCAAAACCAGACAAAGATATCACACAAAAAAGTAAATTACAGGCCAATGGGCATAGATGAAAAACTCCTCAATAAAATGCTAGCAAACCTAATCTAACAATACATTAGAAAGATGACACATCATGGTCAAGTGAAATTTATTTCAGGGATGCAAGGATTTTTCAATATCCACAAATCAATCAATGTGATACACCACATTAATGAATTGAAGAATAAAAGTCATTTGATCATCTCAATAGATATAGAAAAGGCTTTTGACAAAATTTAACATTCCTTTATGACAAAAATTCTCAACAAAGTGGTTATAGAAGGAACATACCTCAACATAATAAAGATCATATATGACAAGCCCACAGCTAACATCATGCTCAATGCCGAAAAGCTGAAAGCATTTCCTCTAAGATCAGAAACAAGACAAGGATGCCCAGTCTCAACACTTCTAACCAACATAGTATTGGAAGTCCTAGACACAGCAATTAGACCAGAAAAAGAAATAAAAGGAATCCAAATTGGAAAGGAGGAAGTAAAACTGTCACTGTTCGCAGATGACATGATACTTACTACACATGGAAAACCTTAAAGATGCCACCAAAAAACTACTGGAGCTCATCAATGAATTTGGAAAGGTTGCAGGATACAAAATTAGTATGCAGAAATTGGTTGCATTTCTATACACTAACAACAAACTCTCAGAAAGAAAAATTAAGAAAATAATCCCATTTACAATTGCATCAAAAAGAATAAAATATCTAGAAATAAATATAACTAAGGAAGTAAAAGACCTGTACTTGGAAAACTATAAGACACTAATGAAAGAAATTGAAGATGACACAAACATGGAAAAATATACTGTGCTCATAGATTGAAAGAAATAATATTGTTAGGGACTTCACTGGGGGCGCAGTGGTTAAGAATCCTCCTGCCAATACAGGGGACACGAGTTCGAGCCCTGGTCCGGGAAGACCCCACATGCCACGGAGCAGCTAAGCCCGTGTGCCACAACTACTGAAGCCTGTGCGCCTAGAGCTCATGCTCCGCAACAAGAGAAGCCACCGCAGTGAGAAGCCTGTGCACTGCAACGAAGAGTAGCCCCTGCTCGCTGCAACTAGAGAAAGCCTGCATGCAGTAACAAAGACCCAACACAGCCAAAAATTAAATAATTAAATTTATTATTTTTTTTAAAAAGAAATGATATTGTTAAAATGACCATACTACCCAAGGCAATCTGCAGACTCAGTGCCATCTCTATCAAAATACCAATGGCATTTTTCACAGAGCTAGAACAAATAATTCTAAAATTTGTATGGGAACACAAAAGACTCTGAAGAGCCAAAAGAATCTTGAGAAAGAAGAACAAACCTGGAAGTATCACACTACCTGATTTCAAACTATAATACAAAGCTACAGTAATCAAAACAGTGTGGTACTGTCACAAAAGCAGACACAAGGATCAATGGAAAAGAATAGAACAGCGGTACCCAACCCTTTTGACACCAGGGACCAGTTTCATGGAAGAAAATTTTTCCATGGACAGGGGTGGGAGGATGGTTCAGGCAGTAATGTGAGCAATGGGGGCAATGTTTGAGGCAGTAATGTGAGCAATGGTTCAGACGGTAATGCAAGCAACAGTTCAGGTGATAATGCGAGCAATGGGGAGCAGCAGGTGAAACTTCCTCGCTCACCCACTGCTCACCTCCTGCTGTGTGGCCCAGTTCCTAACAGGCCACAGACCGGTACCAGTCTGCCATACCGGTCTGCAGCCCAGGGGTTGGGGACCCCTGGAATAGAGAGTCCAGAAATGAACCCACACTTATATGAAGTGTGGGTTAGCCTATGACAAAAAAGGCAAGAATATAAAATGGAGAAAGGAAAGCCTCTTCAATAAATGGTGCTGGGAAAACAGCACAGCTACATGCACAAGAATCACACTGGACTACTTTCTCACACCAGGCACAAAAATAAATTCAAAGTGGACTAAAGTCTTAAATGCAAGGCCTGAAACCATAAAACTTCTAGAAGAAAACATAGGCAGTACACATTTTGACATTGGTCTTAGTAACATTTTTCTTGGATATGTCACCTCAGGCAAGGGGAAAAAAAGCAAAAATAATTGGGACTATGTCAAACTAAAAAGTTTTTGTACCATGAAGGAAACTATCAATGAAAAGACTGTCTACTGAATGGGAGAAGAAATTTGCAAATGACATATCCAATAAGAGAGATATATGGATATCTCCCTTACTGGATATATCATTTACAATATATATACACGTATATATGTATACATGTATATATGTGTATATATAGCCACTTCTTCTTTATTCATCTATTGATGGGCTCTTAAGTTGCTTTCATATCTTGGCTACTGCAAATAGTGTTGCCATGAACATAGGAGTGCGTATATCTTTTTCTGCCACAAAAAGAATGAAATCTTGCAGTTTGCAACAACATGGATGGACCTAGAGGGTATTCTGTTAAGTGAAGTAAGTCAGACAAAGAAAGGCAAATACTGTATAATTTCACTTATACGTGGAATCTAAAAAACAAAACAAATGAACAAACATAACAAAACGTAAACAGAGTAATAGATACAGAGAACAAACACATCGTTGCCAGAGGAGAAGGCGTGAGGGGAGGGGAGAAATAAGTGAGGGAGACTGAGATACAAACTTCCAGTTGCAAAATAAATGAGTTGCAGGTGTGAAATGTACAGTGTGGGGAATAATACATAATATCTTTGTATGGTGACAGAGGGTGATTAGACTGGGTGATCATTTTGAAGGTATAGAAATATCAAATCACTATGTTGTGTAACAGGAACTAACATAGTGCATAGGTCAATTATACTACAAAAACAAACAAACTCATAGAAAAAGAGATCAGATCTGTGGTATCAGCGGTGGGAGTTGTGGGAGGGGAATTGGATAAAGGCAGTCAAAAGGTACAGACTTTCAGTTCCAAGATAGTAAGAACTAGGGATGCAATGTACTACGTGATAAATCTATCACACACTGCTGTATGTTCTATGTGAAAGTTGTTAAGAGAGTAAAGAGTTCACAAGGGAAAACATTTTTTTCTATTTCTTTAATTTTGTATCTATACAAGACGATGGATGCGCCCTGAACTTATCGTGGTAATCATTTCATGACGTATGTAAGTCAAATCATTGTGCTGTATACCTTAAACTTATACAGTGCTGTATGTCAATTATATCTCAGTAAAACTGGAAGAATAAAAAGAAGAAAAGCTTTCTAAGGAGATGTCCTGGTCCCTACGGCTCCGTAAAAAGTACCATAGACTGGGTGGCTTATAAACAAAAGATATTTATTTTTCATAGTTTTGGAGGGTGCCAGCGTGGTTGGTGAGTGTCCTCTTCTGGGTTGCAGACTTCTCATTGTATCCTCACATGATGGAAGGCGCTAGGGAGCTCTGTGGATTTCTAAGAGCACTAATCTCATTCAGGAGGTTGCCACCCTCATGATCGAACAACCTCCCAAAGGCCCCATCTCCCAATACCATTACCTTGGATTAGGATTTCAGCATATAACTTTGCTGGGGGGGGACACAAATGTTCAAACAATAGTAGGAGAGGAAAAACAGTGGGAGCTAAAAGTTGTCGGGACATGTGTCAAAAGTTTCCAGCCCCAGAAACTCAAAACCATCTCTTCAGGTCATCTTGGGGAAGAGGAACCTGGGAAGATGAAAGCTGCCCCTGCCCCTCCCCCCCACCCCCCTTGGTACCAGGGCTAGAAAGGTCATTTATAGCCAGCAGATGGCGCAGAGTTAATGAATGGTCTGAATGCCACTCATCTGGGGTTTGAATTTGGCTACGAGTATTTCTAGGGTTTTCTTTTGTTTGTTTGTTTGTTTTAGCATTTTTATTGGAGTATAATTGCTTTACAACGGTGTGTTAGTTTCTGCTTTATAATAGGGTTTCCATTTTTGAGATGTTTGCTTAGTTATTGTGAGCAATTTTTTTTTTCATTTCGTGTCTTAATTAGCTGTTGGGAAAATAAGTTGTATATTTATCTAGTCACTGCTAACTGCATGTTATTAATTTTAAAACATAGTTAATTCTCTAGCATATCGCAAACAATGACAAACTTATCCTCCTCTTCCATAGTTATAGCCTTATTTTTGTTAACTGTTTTACTGCACTGATTAGAATTTCTAGAGCAATGTTAGATAGTAAAGAAATGCCAGGCTTTTGGACATTCCTACTTTGTTCATGATTTAATAGGACTGCGTCTAGGACCTTACAGTTAAATATCATGCCATTAGCTGGTTTCAGATAAGCTGTTCTTAATCAAGTTAAGAAAGTGTTCTTTTACTACTAATTGGTAGTAAAAGTAAAAACAACAACAACCACAAACCAAGAATGGATATTGATTTTTATTGGATTGAATTTGGAAAATTTTTTTGGAATAACAGATTGTGATGCTAGTTGGCATTTACTACTCTGTCATCTTTCTTTCCTAAGAACAGCAGATTCAAAGGTTAAGTAACGGTGAACTTTCCAAATGCATTATTTAAAGTTCTGAGGGTAGAGCAGGATTGCTCAGCAAGATACAATACTGATAAAGAAACAGCATGCAAGGTTAAGCCAGAGGAAAAGAGGAACCTGTGCTTGCTGTTTTATTTAAAAATTTTAAGGAAGTTGTTTATTACCAATAATTAAATAGCTCAGAGAGGCATTTAATCATAAGACTGTCAAACAGAACTCTACTACAGTTGATTAAAATCTTTAAAAATTTTTTTATGGAGAGAGACTTCATCACTTTCTCTGCTGATGTGTGTCAATGTTTTCATACTTAACCTGGAAGTTCTTCCTAATCTGAATATTCCTTGCTGACATACAGGCATACTTTTTCTCTTATTTCCTTGTCAAAAAAAAAAACCAAACACTAGTCCCCCTACAAAATAAGTGCAAGAATTCATAAGGAACTACACTCCATTAAAAAGCCTAGAATTCACATGACCACTTGGTTGTATTCCACTGGCTCAAAGACACCAGGGTTCACAAAAGTCCAGAAACTGGGCTTGTGGCTTTTTGGTTTGACATTGACGTAATCTGTGACTTCCTTTATGTTCTCATAGTCCAGGAAAGAGTCATTTCTTCGTCCTCCAGGAGCTGAAAAGACCACTTGTGTGTAGTTCACATCCTTGGTGGCCTTAGCGGAAAAAAGCAAAGAAATTTGGTCAAGATTCCTACCATGTTTGGACGAGGTACTCAACTCTCACTCAAAGAGGCTCGCCCTAGGCTGGATGGGAAAGAACCTGGGTGCCCGGTAGCTGTGTCTGAGAGCAGGGTCAGAGCAATGAGGAAGATTGCTCCTTGTGCCTGTGGGAATGAATGGGTTTAAGGAAGAAAGATGTGGAGACTTAATCCAAGTGAGGTCAGGACTCAGAGTGGACCTTGGTCAGTGACTGGGACATGGGGAGAAAGGGGTTTCCCGTTAGCACCTTCATTTTTATAGCTCACTCAGACCCACTTTGTTTGGATGCTCTGTGCTGATACGGGCCTGGGAATGAAAGCCCAACCACCCTCACCTAAGGATGGTGTAATGCCTCCAGAAGCACCTCCTTCCTTACTCCTGTCTCTGGAGCCACTGTGACCCCAGACTGCATATGGAGGGCTTGGATCACTGGGAGTGTCCATTACCTGGTGGGTGGGAGGTGAGCTGTCCAAGTTGTCTGAGCTGTCTGAGGATGTGTCACTGTCATCTAGGGTGAAATAGAAACTGTTCTTCTAAAGAAAGCCAAAGGGTGTAAAGAGAGGATAGAGGCAATGGAAGGGAGAATGAGATGAAGACAGAGGCAGAGCGAGGAGCTCAAAGAGGAGTGGGGAAGAGAGATACAGAGCCCCCCAAAGAGAAAAAAGGAATAGAACAGAGAAAGGGGGGAGCCTCCCAAAATAATCAGGAACATGTCCAAGAGTCCAGGCACTGCTGCTTTGTCCAACTCCATCTAAAAGTAATACCAAGCCCACCAGGCTGGACTGTGCTTGGGAAGGGCTATCTGCTGGAAGGGGAGTAGGCGGGGCATGCTGAGCCGCTGTGGCCCAAGGCAAAGAGCTCTGGCCCCGGAAATCACAGGCACAGCTTCTAATCTAAACCTGTCACTGATGCCAGGTAGGTTACATTCCTTTTTGTGCCCTGGTCTTGTCCCCTGTAACACAGAGAGTTGGACGATGATCTCTGAGGTCCCTGCCAACCATGGAGTCTTTGATTCTGACCAGACTTCAGGGAAGCATCAGGATCAGGGGTTGTGGCGAAGCCCATGCCTCTCCCCTTCCATTGAGACCGTGAGTTCGTGCAAATGGCATCTCCCGATTCCCACATGCATTGAGGCCTTATCTTGGTGGCAAGGAAGCCTGACAAGCAGATTTCTCCAACTGAAAAGATAAAATTTAGGAGGACGGAGCAAACTCAAATCAACCAAAAGATGGAGCAGTGGAAAGATCACTCTCTGGTGAGTGACGCTCTTGCTGTGGAAGCGGCAGTTTCCACTGTGTGAATAGTGACCTGGTGGGTCTCCCAAGCTGAAAGAGAGAGAAAACGAGAACGTGATATCCCTGTTGGTTCACCTGCCAGAGGGGGATATAGATGTGAACCATCACCAAGACTCAGATTTATTAAAGTGCCCAGATTCCATGGCTGGGGGAAGACAGAGGCAGTTGAAATATCGACTCCACCACTAACGGGCAGGCAGAAGAAAAGATGCCATAGTATCACAAAGACAGGAGCAGAGACAGCCCCCGGTCCTCTGCGGCAGCCGTTCACACGTGACCAAAGCTAGAGAAGAACTTAGACCCACACAAACCCAACGCAATCTGCCCCACTGGATAGGATGAACAACCTTCTGAAAATGGGGGCCTGGCTTGGCCTGTACTGGGGAGGGTGTGAGGAATCCTCAGGCCAGTGGTTTGGGCAGGACAGACTAAGGCTGCTGCAGGGAGGCTCCCCGGGAGTCCAGACAGAGCAGAATAAGCTTTGTGACAAGTTCTCCCCCCACCCCTGTACTCACGTGGGTAACGGGGCTTAGGCACAGGGTTGTTTCTCTCTGCCCGAGTCTCCTTGGCAGCAGGTGGGCAGTAGTGGTCGGGGCTGGGCCTGGGGACCTGGAGCCTGGCCCTTTTCAGTATCCTCTCATTCTCCTTGGCTAGAGGGGACAGAGCAAGAGTCAAAAGTGAAAGTTCACTAGGTCAGGCACATCCTATCTGTGAGCACAGCTCTCATTAGGGAAAATTGATCAGAGGGATGTCTTCAAAGCTCAGCACTCCTCTGCTCAGAACCCTGCAATGCCCCTCGCCTCACTTGGAGTAAAATCCAAAGTCCCAGCCTGAAGGCCCTCTGGGCCTCACTCCTCCTTCCTCTCCCTGCCCCACCTCAGCTCCAGCCACCCAGCCCCTTTGCTTCTGCTGTTATGAACAAACTCTCCTGGCTTTTGGCCTTTGTAGGTGTGGCTCACTTCCCCACTTCCTTCAGGTTTAGACTCAAGTGTCAGCATCTCAGGGATGCTGACCCCCATCCAATTCTTATCTCCTTGCCTTGCTTCATTTATTTTCTCCCTAGCACTTACCATAACCTAACACACATTTTCCTTGTTTGTTGTCTGTGTTACCCATAGAATGTAAGGTCCATAAGGGCAGGGATTTTTATTTTGTTCCTTGTTATATTGAATGAATGATTGACTAGAGTAGCTTAGGCTTACACCATCTTGCCCAATCCCTTGTCTTAGCACAGTCAAAGCAGTTTTATTTTCCTTAATTGTAATGTCTTCCCTGGACCGAGCTTCCTACTTTCCTACTGCAAATCAGCTCAGGAATTTAAGCTAATTTCTTAGTCTAACCATACCATTTGCCCTTCTGTTGTAATTCAAGGCCATTTCTTCACATTAAGTCCCTTGGCAGGGATGAAGGAAATTCACCAGGCTCAGGTTAAGTGAGCGCACCCTCAGGAGCATCGCAGCAGCTTGTCTCTAGGCAGAAACTTGTCTGGGCAGGACTCTGAGCCATCATTCCCAACCACAGATAGGTTGGGTCAGAGTGGGGATTACCGGCTTAGAGGTTGGTGGAGTGAAGGGGCATCTGGCCAGGGATTCCTCAAGTAGTGATATTCAGGGGCTCCAAAGGGGGCTCATCTTGCTGCAGGCTCGGGAGTGGTCCCTGAGGGGAACCAGGAGGGAAGAGGATGTTGAGCCAGTTACCCATGTGCCTGCTGAGCAGGTAGTTGACGGCTGCGAGGAGGCAGGCCTGCAGTACCAGAGACACCACTGCGATCACTATTCCATGCCAGACCTTCATTTCTCTGTTGGGAAATGAGGAAATCAGGTTAGAGGTTGCAGAGGTACCAAGACGGCTGCAAAGCCATCCCTGCCCCAAGCCAGAGGCAGCCTGTGGGTGTTGCTGTGCGTCTTGGGTCTCTTCCCTCTCAAATGGGAAGGCTTTAGGGCCCAGGGAGGGTGATGTGCACACTTGGAAGCTGGCTACATCCATCAGCCTGATGGGAACCTGGGCTGGCTCTTCCCGGGCCACTCACTCCGTCAGCATGACAAGTTCCTCGCAGGGCCGTCGCGGGTCGCGAGAGGGGCTTGGGCTCTCTCAGGGGCAGCAGGAAGAGACGTGGATGGAACCACTGGGGGTACCTCGTGTCCAGGCAGCACCAAGAGCGGGACTGCCCTGGAGACCCACGGAGGCGAGGCAGTGGGTCAGGACTCCGGGGCAGTCTTGGCTGCTAGAGGGTCGTTTGCTTTCCTCTCCCCAGATTCCAGTTCTTGAATCTACAAAATAGGCAGTAACAATATTAGCACCTGCCAGCCGGTGGGTACTCGCTCGCTGCCAGCCACAGGGTTGAGCCCCTGGCACACCCGCCATCCTACCTGATTCGCACAATCCCGTGACCTAGATGTCACTACCCTCCTTTTATAAGGAGCAATGTGAGGTCTAGAGGGCTGAGGGAGGAGTCTGAGGCCGTACAGCCAGGCCTGGATTTGAGCTCTACATCCAAGCCTACACCCCCAACCATTCACTCTGCTCCTGGAGCCTTACCTGCTGCTGGAAGCACAAGGGGTCTAACAGGAGCAAACACACTGAGGGAGATTCTGTGAAGAAGCCCAGTGTCACACACACACACATGCACACACATTCCCTCACACCCTCCGTGCCTTCATTGGGCTTTAGGCCCAGGACTGTGGATGCTGTTCCACCCTCATGAGTATGTTTATTTTTAAAATTAGCATATCAGTTCCATCAACATGGTGCTGAAAAGGGATTAATTAGGAGTTTGGGATTAACAGATACGAATTACTATATATAAAATAGATAAACAACAAGGTCCTATTGTATAGCACAGGGAACTGTATTCAACATCCTGTAATAAACCATAATGGAAAAGAATACGAGAAAGAATATATATATATATATTCTGAATCACTTTGTTGTGCACCAGAAACTAACACAACACTGTAAATCAACTATACTTCAATTAAAAAACAATTTTTTATTGTCAAAAAAAAAAATGGTGCTGAATATGAAGTTTACTGCAAGAAAAAGCCAGGATGGTTTCAAAGCCTTTGAAATGATGTTTATTCAGCACAAGATGGGGCCGCAAGAAGGCCCACTGTCCTCCTGCAGATGGTAAACATTGCAAAGGCTTTTATTGCCGGTAAGGCTTATTTTCCCAGTCAGCATTTCCAAGTGATAAGGGCAGTGTGGAATGTCCTGACATTTTTTTTTTTTTTTTTGCATTACGTGGGCCTCTCACTTGTTGTGCCCTCTCCTGTTGCAGAGCACAGGCTCTGGATGCACAGGCTCAGCGGCCATGGCTCACGGGCCCAGCAGCTCCGCGGCATGTGGGATCTTCCCAGACCGGGGCACGAACCCATGTCCCCTGCATCGGCAGGCGGACTCTCAACCACTGCGCCACCTGGGAAGCCCTGTCCTGACATTTTTGTTTCTGTGTGTGGTTCTCACACTGGGGCTATCCAAGATCAAATCTGGACCAAGTTGGGAGAGAGGGGAGGCAGGAACTGGGGAGGGAGGCTGTGGGGTTTGCCACCACTGCCTCTCCAGGGCTGGGTGTTGGCCAGCTGGAGGTTGCCAGGAGCTCTTCTTCTTTGCTTAATAGATCATAAACTTGTTTCCAGATCAGAAAACCTTCATTAAACAGCCTCAATCTGGGGCCCACAGGCCAAATTTGACGCCTAGATGACTTTGTTTGATAATGTGCTTTAAGGATTTGTATGCAGATGCCCTGAGGAGGGCCATGTACTTTTCAGTCCCTGACTGATCCCTGAAGGCATCTGAGTTTGCCACCTTCAGCTTTTTGCATCATTTAAGATTACCACTATTCCATTTTATTAGTATTTTTTAGTACTCTTGACATTCGGAGACAGGCAGTTCCTTGTTGTCTAGAATTGTGTCCTGGGGGACCACCGAAAACAGGTGTAACAGGTTAATGCAACAACCAAAATGACCAAAAATGACCCCACACATTTCCAAATGTCCCCGAGGCAGTCACTTTTGCCCCCAGTTGATAATCACTGCATTATATAAATGTTCCAATTTTAAAACCAATATCTTGGGCTTCCCTGGTGGTGCAGTGGTTAAGAATCCGCCTGCCAATGCAGGGGACATGGGTTCGAGGCCTGATCTGGGAAGAGCCACATGCCGTGGAGCAACTAAGCCTGTGTGCCACAACTACTGAGTCTGCGCTCTAGAGCGTGCAAGCCACAACTACTGAGCCCACGTGCCTAGAGCCTGTGCTCCGCAACAAGAGAACACACCGCAGTGAGAAGCCCGCGCACCACAACGAAGAGTAGGCCCTGCTCGCCGCCACAAGAGAAAAGCCCGCGCGCAGCAATGAAGACCCAACGCAGCCAAAAATAAATTAAAAAAAAAAAACAATATCTTATTTTGTCTCTTTATACAAAACTATGTTGCCTATACTTCCTTCTATCATTTTAATATACTGTGAGCACCTTACTACCAAATGACACACAGTACCTGTGTCAATATATAGCATAAAAGTCAAACAGATCTCAATATAGATCCAAGTTCTGTTCCCTTCTAGGTGTGAATTATTGAACTTCTCAGTGTCTCAGTTTCTGTACCTGTAAAATGGGGATAATGATAGTATGTACCTCACAGAGTTCTTGTGTGGGCTTGGGGAGTTATGTTTACAAAGACCTAAATACAACGGCAGGCATGTGGGAAGCACTCAGTAATTATTAGGCATTATTCAACCCTAAAACACTGCACCAAGATGATGACTAGAGTTGAGCTATTAAAATTGGGTCTATTTTTGGAAACTTAGGCATTCATTTTGAGTAGTTTGAAGATAAAATCTAGGCAGGATGAGGTATGAAAATGATGACAGATATCATTATTTAAGTGACTAATGGCCCGTAACCTCAATGAGCAGTTTGTTCCTTAGGGTCTAATTGCAGATTGCTGATCAGACAGTCGGCAGAAACATCTGCTCATTTGTGCACACACACACACACACACACACACACACACACACACACACCAAACAACTGGGAAATGAGCAATTTGATGTAACTATGATCAGAAAAAATGCCTGGACCATGTGAGAGTTTCGTACACTTCATTCCATCATCAAGATGGACCTGTCCTGCCCTGCCCTCTTTCAGGTTTGGATACCCAGCCCCACATTAATGCAGTGTCTTGCCAGCTGCCTCCAAACCACACGTGAGCAGAGGGCTAAGAACATTTCTTCCGTTTACTTCAGACCTGGTGGATACCCTGAACCTTCCAGATAAGGCTGAATTCCATTTTCTTGTTTCCCCTTCTCCTGATAAAGGAGCTCTCTTGTGACCTTTCTAGTAGGTACAGCATAACAAAAGAGGTGAAATAATAAAAACACACCTTTTCCTGTCTGAGGCCTGCTTTCTTTGGTTAGATATATTCTGGAAAGAGGGCACAAGAGAAGATGATTTATGTGAAGATCATATGGATTAAAGTAATCCTAATCAATATTGCTAAGCTGACTTGATCAATCTTTCAAAATTAAGTAGCTTTAAAGGTTTTATTTATGAAGTGTTTAAAAAGATTTTTTGGCAGCGTTCATTAGCTTATTGTCTTTAAAATGAAGAATTTGAGCTATAAGAGAACAAGACAGGGAGATGAGAGCCAGGCTCCTCCTGCTGGCTCTGTCACTTGCCAACTGTGTGACCTGGGACAGGTAGAAGTCCTTTCTAGGCCCAGCACTTGACAGTACTCCTAAGGCTCTTTCTAGCCCTCAGCATTCTGTTCTTTAAAGACTGGAGGAGGGGAAAGGGAAGCACAGCTGGATGGAAATGGAATATTTTGAAAGAAAAAAATACTTCTTTCCATTTTATAATATCATCCAGCCTCCTTCATATTACTAGACTTTTCTCCCCTAATTGAATATGCAGTTTTGAAGAATCAAGAAAAGGAGGAAACATAAATACACCAAACTAATAATGAATATAACCACAGAAACAGAGAAGGTCAAAACCGTGAGACTCCTGAGATTTTCTTTTTGTGAAATATCAATAAAATTATTGATTTCCTAGAAAAATATAATTAGCAAAATGGATTCCATAAGGCACAGAAAACTTAAACAGACTAAAACCAAAGCAAAATAACAAGAAAGCAATTTGGGATCCAACTTCAGTTCCCCTCTAGCTGCCAGTGGCAGAGAACTTGGAGTCAGACAGCTTGGGTTCACATCCCAGCTCATCCTCTGCATGAGTTGGGTCTACTTATTTAACCTCTCAAAGCCTCTGTTTTCTTGCCTGTAAAATGAGAGCAATAATAACTAATTCTCAGGATTAGATAGATGAATATAAATGATACCTACTTCTGTGAATGAAATAAGATGCAGTAGGAGAAGCAGTTATTCTAGCTTTTGTCACAAGGTAATAAGCATCCTATAAATGACAGCTATTATTATTTAGAAATTAAAAGCATTATAAAAACTATGTACTCAGGGCTTCCCTGGTGGCGCAGTGGTTGAGAGTCCGCCTGCCGATGCAGGGGACACAGGTTCGTGCCCCGGTCCGGGAAGATCCCACATGCCGCGGAGTGGCTAGGCCCGTGAGCCATGGCCGCTGAACCTGCATGTCTGGAGCCTGTGCTCCACAACGGGAGAGGCCACAACAGTGAGAGGCCCGCGTAACACACACACACACACACACACACACACACACAAAACTATGTACTCAAAATTTGTGTCCAGATAGTTTTTCAAATGAGTCATTTGAAATTTTTAAAGAACACAGGGCACCAAAAAAAAAAAAAAAAAAAAAAAAAGGAAAACTCTCCAGGCTCATCTCACTTATGAATACAGAGGTAAATACATAATATTATATCAAAAGTTACTCCAGGGGACTCAGGTTCCCTGACTTCAGACTATAATACAAAGATACGTTAATCAAAACAGTATGCTACTGGCACAAAAACAGAAATATAGGTCAGTGGAACAGGATAGAAAGTCCAGAGATAAACCCACGCACCTATGGTCACCTGATCTATAACATAGGAGGCAAGAACGTACATGGAGA